TTGTGATAGCTGGTGTGGGATGTAAACCTGCAGAGTTTCTATATTCGAGTCCCGGGGTTTGATGCCAATGATGTGTTTATAAAAGATAAAGAGAAGGGAGATCGGTTCTATGGAGGTGTGGGGAGGTCTGAGGGAAGAGGGTATCTCAGTGGGCCCATGCCGAGGCATCCCTTCCCCCTGAGGGTCCAGTCACACGACGGTATAGTATAGAATAGAGTTTACTCAGGGCATGGGGAGGGGAGCTAGGAGGGAGTAGAGGCAGAGAGAGAAGTAGAGGCCGGCCATGAGCACGTGGAGGGAGAGGGGGAAGGGGCAAGGGGACAGAGTGGGAGCAAGAAGGGAAGAGCAAGAGAGGAACGAGAGCAAGGAGGGGGCACACGACCCTTTACAGTGGGTCAGGCCTACCTGACTGTTGGCGGATAACTGTGGGGTGGAGCTTAGATAGAATGCTAACACTTACACACCGTCCTTGGGGCTTGAACACCGTAGCTAAGTGTTCTTGAGTCTAGTTTTCCAAAGGAGACTTGAGCCATGTGGATGGTATTTTGTCCTTCCCTCCAGCTTGCCAGATGACCTCTGGCCTAGGATGCCTTTGGCACAGAAGGTGCAGCTTAGCAGAGAGAACTAAGTGTATATGGTTCTGCCTATGGGTGAGACTGACTGCTTAGAAGAACATTCCCTGGCACCCCTCAGCTGTAGAGCGTCTGAAGTTGACCCCACTAGTCCCTGTGTGGTTTTTAACCAGTGTGGTCACCCTGTCAGAATCCTCTGGGGAGCATCCCATTTGCTCGTCCCTGCCCAGCCATGGTCTGAGCACTGGTTAGTATACAGAAACTGAGTGCCAGCTCATGGTGGCTTCCAAGAATCCCTGTCTTCCCACGCTAGCTATGTCCTACTGAAGGGATGATTGGCTCCATGTCAGCCCCATAGTCTTCCTGTTGGAATCATGTGGTGCATGCTTCCCAACAGTCCCAGCATTGAGGATGCTGAGGCAAGGGAATCACTCACTGGTAGATGAGTTCTAGACGAACCTAGACAATGTAATAATGAACCTGTATCTAAAAAACAAAATGAAAGAAGTCTTGCTGGGGGTGGAGTAGGAGGATGAAGCCACAGTCATCTGGCCAAAAGATCCTGGGGCATAAGTCAGGTGATTTTTTTTTTGATATAAGTTCAACTTCCTGTCCTCAGTTGAGCCACTCTTGGAAGCTATCTTGTGTTGGGGCTAATTTGTGACACTTCTTTGTCTTCTATTAAATGCTGTGTGGTGGCCTTGGTGATCACATTAGCAGCTATTACAGTATTTGACTGATTTATTCTTGCTTCTCTGCTGGGAATGAAGCCCAGGGCCTTATACTTGCTGGGTACATATACCATTACTGAGGGACATCCCTAGTCCCTGTGTTAATAGTACTTTATTTATCTAATTATATAGGTTTTTCCAAGACAGGATTTCTCTGTAGCACTGGCTGTCCTAGAACTCACTCTGTAGATTGGGTTGACCTCAAACTCAGAAATCCGCCTGCCTCTGAGTGCTGGGATTAAGACATGCTGCCCTCACCACCTGGCTTGTTTTTTGAGACAGCATGACACAATATAGCCCAGGCTGGACTTGAATGGGAAGTTCTCAGTGACCTTATACCTGTGTTTCCACGGCTGCTTGAAGCTCTGAGCTGGTGTTCTGAATGCAGATGAAGTTTACATATGTTTAGATATTTTTTGTAAAGGTTGTGTTATGCTCACATACACAGACATTCTCTTTGAAATATCATGAAAAGACATCTTTCCCCCAAAAACAGGGTTTCTTTCACTCTGTATACTAGGCTAGCTTTGAACACAGTTAATGACGACCTGCCACTGCCTTCTGAGTTCTGGGATTGAAGGCATACACCCAGCACCACCGCCCAACTGGTAGTTGTGAGCAAAGGTTGTCTTTCCCATTACACGGGCAGATACTAAAGCAGAGACATGGGTCGCCCATCCATCAGCTCCAACAGTAGATGTCAGCCCCAGCGACTTGGGCAATCCACATTCAGTGGTTCAGATGAAGTTAATTAAGTTTGGAACTCTGATTTTTGTAGTTTTTATTTATGTTATCCAATGAGTCATCTTTTGTCAGAGCTGTTCTCCATCCCTGGCACTGTTTGAGTGGATTGTAACCCACACTGGTAAGGGTGCGCTTCACAGACACAGTCAAGAGCAGTATGTGTGTGTGAGTCCTTGCTTAAGAGCAGCAGAAAGTAAAACAGCAGAACACAGTAAGAACTCGTGAGGGTCTGGCACAAGTCCTGAGGTTGCTTCCTTTCTAGAACATGTATTTCTTCTTGACCCCTGTTAATGAGTGCTGACATTCGAAGAAGAGTGAAAAAGACAGCTTGTATTTGCTTTACTGCAAATAAAGGCCCTGCTGCTGGCCGCCTTCCCAGTGGCCTGAGAGCACTTCGGATGCGGTCAGTGAGGTGTGTGCGCAGTGCCAGCCTGCTGGCCTCATCTGAGCAGACTACACCCAGAAGGCTAAGCTGATGCTGTCTCCCTTTGCTCTTCTCGTGGTGCCATTTGGTTTCTTTCTGAGGTGAAGCTGACGTTACTCTGAAGCCTGATAGACAAGGATTTCCTATGCCATTCACTCTCTGATATAGTTAGTAGTTTGCAGTGGGTGTTATCTTTGTGAGTATTCAAGACCATCTAGAAAAACGCACCTTGTAAAAATGTAGTCCAGTATGCCAAAGAGCCAGACCACTTGACACCTTCGATGGAAGGTTCTCGAATGGTTCTGCCGCTTTTGGGTTCCAGAAGCAAGCCTTTGTTTATAGTCCTGATCCTTTCCTCGTGGTTAAGTGAGTCGTGCCCCTCTGGGTGTTTCTTTCTCTGAAAGTAGATGGGTGATGGTTCTCGGGATACTCTTGCGAAGATATGGGGTGCTCAAACATGAAACATGTTCAGCATTGCTCCTCCCATGTAGCAGGCTCTGTCACAGTTTAGGCTTTGTTTCCAGAGCTGAATTTTGTAACGTTAGTAGTGAAGGCTGGTCACTTGTGAAAGTAATTCACTCCCAACAGCAGAAAGGACAGGATGGTGCAGGCCACCACTGTAGGGCTGCTTCTCCTTGCTCCGGGAGCTTACAGGCTGGCTTCCCCTTGCTGTTGTGAGCCACTGTGCCTCATCTGGCTGCTTGGCATCACATCCATCCTCTGTTAACACCCATGACCCACTCTAGGCGTCAGTGCCCTGTCTTCTCAGGAGTCACTGACATTGTGATTCCACCAAAGAAACTTCTCTGCTAGACTGATATCTGGGTCTCCCTGTTTTCGTGGGACATTATTTGGGACACAACAGAGAGCAGCTTCTCCTCCAGCCAGTCCCAGGTGCAGCCAGTCATTCACTGCACATCTGATGTGAAGTTAGAAGCCAGGCTCACAGGATGCAGTGTGTGGCGGCTGTCCTCTAGCATGTTAAGTGCTCAGACAGCACTAAGAGGACCAACAACACCCTTGGAGAGGCTAGTATCCCAGACTGCAGACAGCAAGCAGTTGTTACAAAGATTTTTGTTTGGTTGTTTTTTTTTTAATGCTTTCCATACATAGACCCTACACTAGACATGTAAGAGTTGCCAGAGAAATAGAGACTTGACATTTTGTTCAGCAGAGATATGCCAGAAATCAGACTTTTCTTCTATGTGGGCTCTTCTGGTTTGTGGTTTCTGGTTTCTTGAAAAGCTTGCAACCCATTTCCAAACTCTGCTCAAACTTCAGTGGAGTTCCATTGGCTTTGTGAATTTTCTGTCATAAATGTAGCCCTAGCCATAAGCTTCATAGATGTAGAAGTCAAGACTCACTCACTAGTATACTTCCAAACCTGGGTTGACCTGGCACCCAGTCAGTGCCTCAATGCTGGCTGGATAAAGTTTGTGCTAATTGGAGACTGGGACTCAGTCTTGGATGCTCATTTGCCAAGCTGGGTGTCAGTCTCAAAATAATAGTGTGCACTTTAAAAACAAACAGACAACCCGGAGGTAGAGAGATGGTTCAGGAGTTTAGAAAAATGTTCTGATCGTCCAGAGGATCAGAGTTAGGTTCCTAGCACCCAGTTCAGGCAACTCAGCCATCTGTAAAGCAAGGAGATCTGCCACCTCTGGTTTCCACAGCAACTTGCACTTGTGTGTATACCCACATAAACACACACACAGACACACACATGTATCCATAACGTCTCCATCCAGGTAAGTGTAGTATAGAACATCCAGGGCTTAGGCTAAAAAGCCAATCACGTATCTCTACTTCTACTTTGCAATTTACTGTGTGTTTTGGTGCAAACTATGACACCCAGTGGTCATTCTGCCTTGTAAGATGTGCAATGTCACAATAGGCCAGGTACAGCAGCAGCAGAAAGTGCTTGCATTGCTACTGTTTCATTTGGACTAAGGTCTAGCTAGCCTTGTCAGGGTCTCCTTACATAGGCCTGGCTCCAAGCCCAGGTTGGAACCATTCTTCTGCTTCCTTGGTTCCTGGATGTTGACAGAGTTCTTGTATTAAGGGAGGTTTGTTTGTAGTAACCTGCCTGTCTGGTGAGTGAGTATTTGGCCTTCCTTTCTGGCTGAAGCACCCCTTTGAACTGGTGCCTAGAATGCAGGCCTCCTGCCTTGGCCACTCCTCCAGGTTGTAACAGGGCCTTCCCTTCTACTGGCCTTTTCTGCCCACACACATTCTACTTGTTGCCGCAACAGGAAAACTTTACCTGACTTCGACCTGTGGCTTGGTCAGACTCTGTTTTACTTTCCAATCTCTTGTCACAGAAAATTTCTTGTTGTAATTCATTGCTTTCTGAATGCATTTGTTGGATAGATGAAAGTGTATTGCCTTTCACTTGGCCTACATTTTGATTAATGTATTACTTCCTATGGGTGAATACAAGAGAACAGATGTTTGGGGTTTTTTTCTACTTGACAGTTTCAAATGATCATTACAAGAAGAGCTTTCTAACCTGTGTTTCCCGTTTCCCAGTGCTGCTGAAGTTCCGCACAGATAAAGGAAGAGACCCTGCCTGTGATAGCTACAACGAGGACGCAGAGCTGCTGCTGCAGATACGGAACGACGTGTTTGACTCACTGGGCATCAGTCCCGACCTGCTTCCCGATGACTTTGTCAGGTTGGCATCTGAACAGACAGACAGCTGTTCTGGGTGTTTGTCTTTGTGGAGACCAGAGTCTTAAGGGGGGCTCCTGTGCCACATTTGCCAGCTGCATAAACCACCTCCTGCCGGTGCTGTAACCAACATTACAAGAGAAGTAAAGACTTGCAGGTTTGGGTTTTCATGTGGTTTGAAATTTAAGGAGCCGTGTGGTCTGTTGACATTGTTGGGCCTTTCTGTTCTGGCTCTGTCCTGTGTCGATGTCTGATTTCCTTGCCTATCATAGGATGGAGGATCCTAGTATGTAGAGTTTTGCACAGCCCCCTGCTTGTTGGCCTTGTGTTCAGCCTTTGCTATGAAATGCTGCAGTGTGTCTCCTTGTGTCATACACTACCCAGATTGTGTGGGATGACTGAGTAAGGAGGGAATTGCTGGGTATAAAGGTGTGATTGGTCACTCGATGGGTCTTTGTCATCTGTTGGGCACCTGACTGTACCTTTATCAGCTGAGACCTTAGATTCACTCCCCAGGCTCCGGGAAGCTCTAGCTATGGAGGTCTCTTGCCCTCACACAGTCAGGTTTGAGGGATTTTAGACAAGTGGCCTTGAGCTTCTGAGCAGCTCTGCCATCTTGGGCACACTTGGTTTGCCACGTTGCTGAGCTTCCAGGCTGTAGCCCGAGGGACTGGCGACCACAGTTTATTTGCTGCAATTTCTGAGCAGTTCTCTTCAACTGGCAGCAGGGCAGTTGTGAGGCTCGTGATCTTAGTCCTGCTTATGATCTGCAGTGTAGTTCCTAGGTGAGGGGACAGAAGCTCAGAGAAGTGAAGTAAGTAGTCTCATGCCAAGAGGTACCATGCCCAGAGGTCTCTTGAATGTAGATTGTTTAATGAAGTTAGTTAAATGAAACAATAGATTCATAGAGATCCAGTCACATTTTGTTATCATTGCTACCGTCTTTTGAGGTGTGGCTTTGTGGGTGCTTAAATGACAGGTGTGTGCCACAGTACCTGGCTCTGCCCAAGGGTTTGGTCAGTCACACTAGTGCTGCCACCTCTCTCACCACAGCAGCCCAGACTGCTTTCTGGTGCTTCTCAGCAATACAGTTGTCCAGAGAGCTCCTTCTAGTGCCTTCTTTCTTCCTGGGCTCCTCATGCCCCCTAGCCAGCATCATTCATGTTGGTCTTTGTCTCTCTGCAGAGCCATGAACTAAAAGGCTGTCCTCCACAGCTGGGAAGCACTCTTTGAGGTACTTTGACAAGAGTGGAACTATAAGATCAGGGCTGGCAGCATCACACACACACTTGCTTAGTCTCGGCTCTTACTGCAGGAGAGACCTGACCGTGAGGTACACTCAGTCCCACCAAGCCTCCCTCCAACAGACCCTCCCAGAGAGTGGCAAGTTTGATGTTGGGCCGTGAACATGCAGCTAGCTAAGTGACTAATTTGGACATTTAGGGAGATATACGGGCTAGTTCTACCTTCCCCAGGCAACAGTTAAGGGCCTTACTTCCCAGAAGTGACAGCCCACACATGGCCTAATGAGCTTTTGGCTGGCTCTTCTTTTCCCTGCCTACCTTCTATGGAAACTACATTCCTGGTCTAGGTTCTGTGTGCTCAGCCACTTCTCCTGTTGCCTTCTAAGTAAGAGGTGTTCAGAGGCCTCTTACAGCCTGTCTGCTGGCAGGCCTGAGGTAAGATAGGGATGCAAATGAGGAAATGAGTCTCCGGCTCACAGCTGAGCTACCCTTACAAACTATTTGATGATGATGCTGAGCAGGGACAGCTGTGCTTGAGCCTCTGTCCGTCTTCATCTGATGATGGCCTGTGCTTTCACCTTCTTGTTCTGAGTGCTCTCTCCTTGAACAAAGAGCCTTACTGCTTTTCTGATGATGAGAAGCGGTGACCTGTTTCAGCACTGCTAACATTTTTAGGTCTGAGCTCACAGATACTGATAGATGGGTGGATGGGTAGATGTATATTTATATATATTTGTATTTCTGCTGTTTATCACAGTGGACGTTCTTCAGTTGCCTCTTGGAACTATGACCATATACTCTATACTAGACAGAACCATGTTACTTGTATGTCAGGGTATTGCACGACCTGGATGTGTAGCTATTAACTAACCTTCACTTTGTTAGCTGTCTTTACTGTCTCAGCCTTCATAGATACTCGTAGCTTCATGTGTAAAATGACATTATAGTTTTAAATTTAGCAGTCGAGGGGATAAAGGCAGAAGGATAAAGAGTGCAGGCCATCTTCTACTATACAGTGTATTTAAAGCTAGCCTGTGTTAGAGGTGATCCTATCTCAAAACAAATTTATAATAAGCCATGCATGACAAAAGTAGCCATCTTAGGGGACTGGGAAGATAGCTCGTGGGTAGAATGTTTGCCACCAGTTCTGTCAACTCAAGGCCAAAACACAGCCTCCTGCAGGATGTAATCTGACCTCAGCTCTGCTTCGGCCTGCTCACACATACTAAATAGAGATGGAAGTGAGTAAAGAAAATTAGTAATAACGTCCTCCTGGTTTCACCATTTTATCACTTTATTTCGAGTGTGGTAGTATGTGATGATGTGGAAGTCAGAGGATACCTGCAGGGTCAGTTTTCTCCTTACCTTTACCCAGGCTCCTGGGATGGAACTCAGGATAGCCCACTGCGTTATTTGCCTGAACCTCACAATAACCTGTGTTTTAAATTAGTCTTTTTTTTTCCTTTACTTGTATTTACTTTAGTATGTATGTATGCTTTGGCTGTGTATATGTCTGTGCCGTATGCATGCAGGAGCACACAGGCCCTAATAGGGTGTCAGATGCCCTGGGACTTGGCATAACAGGTGGTTGTGAGCCAATTTGTGGTGCTGGGAATTGAACCTAGGTCCTCTGTCACAACAAGTGCTCTTAACCCCATTTTAACCATCTAGCACACTTATTAATAAGTGCTTTCAAGTCCCATCTGAGTCCTTTCTAAGTATGTTACACCGAGGCATTGATTGTCTTTTGCTGCTGCACAGTCATCACAGTTGACTCCCTACTCTGTTCCTCCCGGTGACTCCTGGTGACTCTAGTGCACTGTATTTTGAGCCCCTCATTTAAGTGGAATCGTGTAGTCCTTTCCTTAGTATCAGACATCTCGGCATGTATCACTCAGCATCACTTCTGAAGCAGAGGGACAAGAGTTGCCGTGAGTTCAAGGCTAACCAGGACTCTAGAGAAACCATTTCAACCTCTTACCTACCCGTGATGTCCTTAGTGAGCTTTCTGAGATTTGTGTTGTTGTCTTTGCTTTTGTTATTTTGGATTTATTTTTTGTTTTGCTTTGTTTTGTTTGTTTGTGTGTTTTTGTTCTGGAGACTGACTTAAAGGGCTCAAATGTAAAGTGAATTTATTATTCTAGCAAGCCCCCATAAAAGACACACAGTTCAGGTATTTTATTTACAAGCTGTAAGCCTAGCTTGGACAGGTTTAGGGATATTCTCAGTTCTTTTTCCAGCTATAAAGTCCCTCGTTGCTTGCTCTTTCTCCTCGCCACGTACTCCTGGTCTGTCTCCTCTCATGGCACCTCCTCGACCCCCGCCGCCTTTCTTCTCTCTGGACCTGCAGCCCCCTCACTCCACCCTCAGCTCGCACCTCTTTCCCTCCACTGCCTAATCACAGGCTCTAGCCTTTTATTGACCAGTTAAATTGGGGAGCAAGGGTATCAGTAAACTTTTTGAGGAGGCAAAAAAATTAAAGTACTATGGAATGTTAACATGTAGAATGTAGGTGTGTGAGTAGTTGTTGGTTGGTTGGTTGGTTTGTTTAAATATCTGGATGTGGTAGTGCTTCCTATGATGTCAGTTGCTCAGAAGGTGAAGGCAGAAAGATCACAAGTTCAAGGTCAGGTTGGACAACTTAGATCCTGTCTTAAAAAGTAAAAAAGAGGGCCAATAGAGTGTGATAGGGCAGAGCACCTTCAGTTCCAGCAAAACAGAAAACAAACAAACAAACAAACAAGCTGGAAATAGTACTGGCTTTGCATCTCTAGCTCTCCAGAGGCTGAAGCAGTAGGATTCAGGATGGTGCTGGCTTGAGCTAGATAGTCTTGTTTCTGTTTTGTTTTGTGATAAAAGGAAGATTGTTGCCACACCTGGTCATAGAGGCTTACTTTGTTATGTTCTACCTGCCATGTGCATTGGAGGTCTTTAGTATGCAGCAGGCCCCTCTGCAATGTATACATTACATCACAAAGTATACAGTGCATCACCAACGTGCCAACATGTGTCATTTTAAGAGACATCAGGCCTGGCGTGGTGGCTCCACGCCTTTAATCCCAGCACTTGGGAGGCAGAGAGGCGGATTTCTGAGTTCGAGGCCAGCCAAGGCTACACAGAGAAACCCTGTCTCGAAAAACCAAAAAAGAGAGAGAGACAGAGACAGAGAGAGACAGAGACAGAGAGAGACATCAGAAGCTCAGTACCAAGATAGATAGTTGATGTGTAGTTCCATGAAAAGTTTAAACACCTACCATTGGTTTACCAGATCAAAGAATGGATGTTGGTAATTGGGTTTACATTAGTCTGTGTGTGTCTGTGTGTGTGTGTGTCTGTTACACCTTTAAGAATGTCTAGAAGGCATGTGTATCCATGTGAGAGGATCAGGGTGGCCTGGTATCCTAGTTTGCTCCTCTAACTGACCCTTCTGTGTTGAGAGCTAGGAACTAGTCTGACAGCTTCTTTGAGGAGCCTGTGTTTTGCACCTGAGGAGGGTTACTGGAGGCCTGTTGGCAGTGTCCTGAGATTTGTCCTCTGAGCACGTCAGCCAGGCCCAGAAGGAAGGAGCTGCTGCCTGTGAGGGTCGTGCAGACTTTGTACTGTACCCATATTTACTTTCTCCTAGCATGTAACACAGCCTGTTGGTCTGTGGTTCTGGGAATAGCATACAGAGGAACCCACTGCCCGTGTGCTGAGAGGAGAATTAGGAGAATGTGCTGGGGCCACTCACACATCTGGTGTTTGTAGGACCTTATTTTTAGGAAGCACAGATATAGTCTTTCCTTGAACTTTAAAAAAAAAAGAAGAAGAAGAAAGAAAGAAAGAAAAAGAATCATGTGAAGGAATTCATGCTTTGCAAAGTTAAAGTATCAGCTCTAGCACTGCCCTCTGACTAGGACTTTTATCCAGGACAGCCCCTGGCTGATTCCCACCCCATATATAAATAAATTTTTTTCCTGTCTTCTAGGTACTGCTTCTCGGAGATGGCCCCAGTGTGTGCTGTGGTTGGCGGGATCTTGGCACAGGAAATTGTGAAGGTAAAGTCATCGTGGAGCTGGCCACTGACCTCAGTGCCCTGACTGCACATTAACAGAGCCAGGGGCTGCCCGAGACCTACTTGTTCTCTTGCCTCTCAGCCTTGCATGCCCTGGCTCTGTACCAAGGCCCGCATGGGCCAGCCAGCTAGTGGCCTTGAATGGTTCCTATAGTTGTCACTTTGTCTGCTCTTCCAATTGTGTGAGTAGATCGAGATTTCCATCTAAGAGGAAAAGAAAACACAGAAAAGAGACTCCATCGCCTGTGCTCCCAACCCCCTTCAGAGTGATGTCAGGGGCCCTGTTCATTCTGCGTGCTGCGAATACGTGCAGAGGAGGTTTGAGTGTCTATAGGATACATGATCTGCCAGCAGCCACATGAGTGGCTCTACAGTGACTTGTGACCTCCTGGTATGGACAGTTAATGACTTAAAAGAAGACTAGGTCAAGGAACTATGTAGCCCTTCTAGAATATTTAGTTTGCTAAAACTGTGCAAACTTTGAAGTAGATTTTATTTCCTTTTTTGGGGGGGGGGGGATTGAGACAGGGAGATTTTATTTCCTTTAGAGATTAACTATTTGCCTAACTTTCTTAAATTTGTCTTATGCAGAGCTATGGTGTAGCTCAGTGCTAAAGTGTTTGTTTAGCATGCTCAAGGATCCTGCATTCAGTCCATAGAAACTTTAGTTTTGTTTTGAGACAGGATCTTAATATATAACCCAGGCTAGCCTTGAACTCTCAGCTTCCTGAGTGCTTGGGAATACAAGCATGAGCCACCATGACAGCTCTTCCTGCAGAACTGTCTGTAATCATGTTTGTTGTGGACAGAGACATGTCTGGCTGGCTGACTTCCACATCTCTGCACGTTCAGACCAAGGAGGGCAGTGTATAGAGACACCAGTTCTTGCGGCTCGACCTGGGGTCTTGTTGCGTGTAGAGGTTCAGCCTGAGTCCTGTAGCTTTGCCATCATCTTCTCCCCTCTGCTGATTGGCTCTCGGCGCTAAACTCACTTGCCCACGTGTCCCCCACTTTTACACTCTAGACATCAAGGGGTGGAGAAGCAGGAGAACCTAAAGGCTCCACAGATGATAGCCTGCAGATGTTGCCAAACAACACCACTGCAGAGACTGGCATGGCACTGCTTGCACTGGGGGTGGGGGGGTGGGAGAGTGGAGGTTGGGGCAGGTGGCCTGGAGGGATTGTTGATGGTGGCTTCTACACATCCCTGTCTTACTGCTGCCCCCTCCTTCCTGCCTGCTGGGTACAGCTGTTGCTCAGCGTCTTGTTTCTGTTTACCCCAGACAGCCAGAGCACTCTACATTCTTGGTTGCTGGGTGTGTTTGGAATCTCGTACCCCATCTTGCTCGGGAAACACTTTACCTTTTGCCCCATGTTCACCCTCTGCCCTGTCCCTTCATCCCTCCACTCCCTCTGCTTAGCACACTACAGCCAGCTGGCAGGAGGGCCTGCATCTGAGGCCCTCTCTCTGAGCACCTATTAAAAGTACTTGGGAGCACTTAGAGGGAGTGTGTGAAAGTCCTGCTGATCAGCTTTTTCCCCTCCCTCCCTCCCTCCCTCCCTCCTTCCTTTTCTCCCTCCCTCTTTCTCTCCCTCCCTCCCTCCGTCCTCCCCTCCTTCCTTCTCTTCTCCCCTTCTTCTTTCCCTCTCTCCCTCCCTCCCTCCCTCCTCCCCTCCTCTGGTCACTCACTGTCCTGGCAGGCTTTAGGCCTCAGTCATCGCTGTGGTCCATGGGTTCCTGTCCATGGGGTAGAGGAATAGTGAGAGCAGCAGCCATAGCAGGCCCCGTATTAAAACATGAGCTGAACTGACACCTGCAGTTGCAGCTGCTCGGGAGGCTGGAGCACTGATCCAGGGAACCCAAGAGACCAGGACCAGCCTAGTCAGCATAGCCATGAAGGAAAAGAATACTGGTCGTGTCCACTTTGGCTTGGAGGCTCTGGGGGTGTTGTCTCTATGGCACCATTAGACAGTGCTCCCTCCCGTTGATGGCAACAGCTCCTGGGACTGAGAAATGTACCCTGGGGAGGGACAAGAAAGGGATGGCAAGGGGTTCCTGCAGGTGCTGGTGACCCCTGGAGCACAGGTGAGCCGGTCCCAGTTGAGGAGCACTGTCCTAAACCAATTATATATGGTTGGTTGGTTTGTGACAAAGTCCCACCTGCACTATGTTGGCCTTGAATTTACAGAGATCTGAATGCCATTCCAAGGATTAAACTCAACTTATTTAACTCCTAACCTTGGTGAAAGCCTGTTTAAGCTTGGCCATAGTTGTGTTAGGCTTCTTGCTTTTTTCTTTCTTTGTTTGTTTGTTTGGTTGGTTGGTTTGGTTTGGTTTGGTTTGGTTTGGTTTGGTTTGGTTTGGTTTGGTTTAAATGGTATTTTTCTAGGCATGGTTACTCTATAGGCCAAGCTAGCCTGGAACTCATAGAGATCCCCCTGCTCTGCCTCCTAAATCCTAGGATTAAAGACCTGAGCCACCACCTTCCAGCTTAAGCAGAAGCTTTTACCCAGAGTGCTCTTGGCCCTTCCTTTGTAATTTTCATTTTATTTTTTCCCTGGTCCACTTTAGAAGGCCCGTCAGTTTGTTGTTCTACTGTGTGTCCATACTGAAGCTGAACCCTCTTCTCTCTCCAGGCCCTGTCTCAGAGGGACCCTCCTCACAACAACTTCTTCTTCTTCGATGGCATGAAGGGGAGTGGAATTGTGGAGTGCCTTGGTCCCCAGTGAGCCTGAGGTGTGTACAAGGCCACCTACCCTCTCTACGAAGGCGTGTCTGGATCATTTTTCTAGAGCAAGAAGGGCAGACTTCACCCTGCCTTTTCTTGTGCTCGAAGCTGTCAGGGACCTGCCGGCTCCTGAGTTGATAATCACTTGGCACCCCTCTGGCATTGCTCCCTTGTGCTGTCACTGGGGACCGGCAACGCCCAGTAAGGGCGTCATACTTCATGATGTCAGAGTTACTTGTCACTTTTTGGACTTAACTTTCTTCTATAGGTCAACAGGGGAGCAGGACATCAGTGGGAATTGGTGGCCCAGAGCCTCTGAAACCCAATGGAGAACTGGGAACAGCCCTCTGTTGTTGACCCTTCCTCCAGCTGGAAGCCTGGGTGTTGGAAGGGAGAGACTGTCACCCAGTTGTCATGTCCTTTGGTTGTGAGCCTGTGCACCTAATCTTCAATGGCTGAGCCATCTTTTCAGCCCAAGCAGTTTCTTTCTAAAAGGTAGATTTAATGCTAGGGGCCGTTATTCAGGCTTGTAATCTTAGAAACTGGGATGCCAGGGCAGGAGGATTGCTGTAAATTTCAAGGCCAAGCTGGTCTACATATATACCAAGAACTTTTCTCAAAATACAATAAAAGATGTATTCCAGAGTTAGGGTGGGGCACTGTGTCTCCCAGTTCCTCATATTGGTCGCCCAGGTCCCCCAGGGAAGGGCTGAATGGTCTGGTCTTCTTCTAGGAGTATAGAGGCAGCTTGTCTAGTGTGTAGATTCCCTTGGTTGTTGGATGGAGAAGGATAATAAAGTGTGTTTCTCTCAAGCTTGCTTGTCGCCTCTGTTTTAGAATCTTGTGGGTGGGTGTCTGGTCCCCTATTTTCCTGATACCTGAAAAATTTCACACCCTCTTATGCTTCGGAGGTTCCTGCTGTCTTGCTTCCTTTGTCCTTTTGACAATATAGCAGTTGGACTGCAGACAGGACACATAGATGCTTAGGCTCCTTGTGTGTGTGCAGAGGGTCTCGGCTATGTAGTGGCCACTCTCAGTGTTGATAGGCTGAAGTCAGGTGGGTGAGCCAGAGAGCCCAGCTTAACCATGAAATGACTCCTGTCATTTCAGCACCTAGGAGGCTGAGACAGTAAGGTCACAAGTTCAAAGCTAGCCCCTGCTGTGCAGCCAGTTGGGGATGTGGAGAGCAGACTCCTGGCTATAAGATGGGGCTTTCCCTGCAGTACTATTAGCTGCTGTTATTAGCCCTCTGTGCTCTCATTGGTGCAAAACAGTTCCAGCCATGTCCCCGAATATCCATCCCAGGTGCGGAGGAACCGTGTTGTAGAGGAGTCCCTTTCTGGGCACCATTAGTACAGCTGCAGCACTGGGGTCTGCAGTCCTGTGGATTTTGTGGGGTATGAAAGGCAAAAGAAAAGACACCTTTGTGGTTGTAATGTAAAGTCTTGGTCACAAGGGGGAGCAGATACTCCTGAACCTACATGAAACAAACTTTCCAGCTGGTACCTCTGGATCACAGACTGAGTCACCAAGAGGGCCTGTGAGGAATCTGGAAGCTGCCAGCTGCAGGCAAGCAGTCACTGAGCTTTTAAATTCCACACATCTCCAGATTGCAAGTACCCTACCGCTGGGGATATCCTTAAGTGTCTGGAAAAGTCAGTGAAGTGATGGCTTCTAGAACCTCTGGAAGGTACACAACTCTCTTGGGACAGAACTGATCCTCAGAGGAGTCGTGGGACCAGGGCACAGGGGTTGAGCTGCCCAGAGGCACAGTGTCTCCAGTCCACTCTTCTCAAAGTATGCTGAAGAGTGGGTTACACAAAAGACAAACACAGCTGGACAAGATAGCCTGTGCCTGTACTTCAGCATGCAGGAATTGGAAGCAGGACAATCATGAAATCCAGGACAGCTAGGACTACATAGACTTTGTCTCAAACCAAAATTAATAAAGCAATTACTTTTTAAAAAAATGTTTAATGCATTTTACTGAGTATGGTTGTTAAGTGTGTAGGTGCACATACCATTCTCATGCTGAGGTCGGAGAACAAACTTAAGATTTATAATGGTGCTGGGCATGGTGACCCACACCTTAAATCCCACTCTGGAGGCAGAGACAGGTGGATGTCTTGAGTTTGATGTCAGCCTGGTCTGCGTAGTGAGTTCCAGGACAGCCAGGGCTACATGGTCAGTCCCTTATCAACAACAAACAAAAACCTATAACATTTATAGTGCTTTTGCATTTGCTCTGGGGAATACATGTATCATGTTAGACTTACACAATTATGACCTGACCAGTTATTTTCATTTGAAGATTAAACATAAGATAGGATTGGTTGTCAACTTGACCACATCTGGAATTAACTGAAACCCAAGCAACTGGGTTACACTTGTGAGGGTTCTTAACTCATTTGACATGGGAAGACCCACCATCATCTGGGCAGTACCTAATAGCAAGGGTGGCAGATAGAACCTTTCACCTTGTAGGTTCTGAGAGTCAACTCAGGTCAAGGTCTCTTGGCCTAAACAGTTCACTGAGTCATTCCACAAGCTCCCTCTGCTGTCTTCAAAGGCCTCTCCTCTGTGTCTAAGCTCAATATGGTAGCAGTATGTGCCTATATTCCCAGCTGTTCCTGGGCCAGGAGGATCATGAGTTCAAACTCAGCGTGAGCTAAACAGTGAGAACTCATCTCAAAGAATAAACAAGAAAAAAAATGCTCAGTGCATCAGGCGGCCTGGCAGCCTGTTAGACTCATAATCCTAACAGCTGCCCTCATGGCTGAACTCGGGATTTTGGAGAGAAACGTGAGATGCTTTTTGGATGTGTTGGCTATATCCACTTTCCCCTGCCCCGAGGTCACCCTCATAAGTCTTGAGAGGGAAGCTTTCCAGATGGCCAAGTTCCACCCATACTCAGCTATGTAGATGTATGACCACCGTGGGCAAGTGAGGTTTTTTTTTAACCTCCTTTATGCAGCTTGTGTTTAAGAATAATATGTTAAAAAGTCAATCGGTGCTGGTACATGCCTTTAATTCCAGCACTCAGGAGGCAGAGGCAAGTGGGTGTCTGAATTCAAGGCCAGCTTGACCTATAGAGTGAGTTCCTGGACAAAAAACAAGGAAAAAAAATGTGTGTTAGGGCCAACAAAATGGCCCAACAGCTAAAGTTATGTGCTGCCAAGCCTGGTGAGCTGGGTCCCTACACCAGGCACCAAGGAGTGCTTGTTGGGGTCAGAGGTTTCAGGAATGCTATGTGGGTTCCAGGGATCACCCACTGAGCCATCTCACTGGTCCCACTTAGGTGAATTTATGTTTTAATTTTATGTGTATAGATGGTATGCCTGCATGTATGGGTTTCTATGCACCACATTCTTACCTGGTGCCCTCTAAGGCCAGGGTGGGGCACAGTTCCTCTAGACTTTGGAGTTACATATCTTTGTGAGCCACCATGTAGGTGCTGGCATCTGAACTCCAGTCCTCCACCAGAGCCTTCCACCAGAGCAATAAGTACTCTTAGCTGCTGAGCCATCTGTGATATTTAGTTTGTTTTTTGTTTGTCAGAAACAGTGTTTCTCTGTTTAGCCCTGACCTTCCTGAAATTCAATCTGTAGGCCAGGCTGGCCTCGAACTCAGAAATCTGCCTTCCCCTCTGCCTCTCTACTGCTGGAATTAAAGGGATGCACCATAACCACCTGATACTAGGCCCCCGCCCCTGCCCCCTACACACTGTGATAATTTTTAAGAAGGAAATAAACTTGTAGACAAAAGCCCATCTTTCTCCAAAGCAGCCATGGCAGGATGGGGCCATGAGCAGAGCAGAGGTGCTGAGCCTCTTCCTGGGAAGCTGTGGGGCCACTTAGTTCCTGCGTCCCTTGGGCAGAGGCCATGGTGGCTGCTGCTGCTTCCTTTTCTCTTGGGCTTATTTTTCTAGGAGCCCGTTGGGGTTGCACAGCATCCTTCTGGCTGTAAGTATCCCTGCATCTTTGATGCAGGCAGGACATTTTCTACTGTTAGTGTTTGGGTCTGTGAAAAGAAGGAAATATGGAGGCTGGAGACACAGCTCAGTGGCTCAGAGTACCACCTTGCTGAGGACCTGTTTTCAGGTCCCCAGCACCCACACAGTGGCTCACAAACAGGGGTAACTCAAAGGGATCTATCTGATACCCTCTTCTATCCTCTGCAGGCCCCAAGCATACAGTATAGTATACACACATATGGGGGGGGGATCAAATATACATACAGAATAAAAACAAATCTTTAACATAGGAAAAGTAGACTGGGCAGAGGCAGAGATAGGCAGATCTCCACTAAATAGCAAGTTGAATGTAAGCCCAGGGTACATGAGACTCTTAAAAACTATTGTAAAATTAACATGTTCCTGGTATAGCTAGAATCAGCAATACACGGTATAAAAGAACCAAATGAATATTCTAGGGCTGGAAAATGTACTCCTAATATAATGGAGGTGAGAATCATTGAATTGAAAACACAGTAAGAAGGCTGGAGAGATGGCTCAGAGGTTAAGAGCACTCACTGCTCTTCCCAGAGGTCCTGAGTTCAGTTCCCAGCAACCACATGGTGGCTCACAACCATCTGTAATGGGATCCGATGCCCTCTTCTGATGTGTCTGAAGAGAGCAATTGTGGACTCATATACATAAAATAAAGGAATCGTTGAAAGAAAGAAAGGAAGGAAGAAAGAAAGAAAGAAAGGAAGAGAGAAGGAAAGAAAGAAAAAGACACAGAAATTTTGCAGCCCCAAAAAAGTATAAAAAAGTTGAGCAAGTTGACTCAGCAGATTCAGGAGCTTGGTGACTAGAGTTTGTTCCCTAGGACCCATGTGGTAGAATACAAAACCTGAATCCCACAAGTTGTTCTTTGGCCTACACACACACACACACACACACACACACACACACACACACACACACACAGACAGACAGACAGACAGATAGATAGATAGATAGATAGATAGATAGATAGATAGATAGATAGACACGCAAACATACATACATGTATATGTACATGCACACAGATACAGGTACAAGCACACATAGACATACACAGAAACAGACACACAAAGATACACACATGCATACATATACATACAGACAAACACAGGTACGTGGACATGTAGACACATACACAGATATACACAGACACTTGCACACATGCATACATGCACACAGACATTCACACTTATACACACAAATATATACATGAAGCATACACAGTGTGTAAAAGAACTTCATAATATGTTGTGAGAAACCATCTAAAGGTCTGAACTATGGTACACAAGGCCTCATGTATAGAACAGAACTTTACTGCCTGAGTCATCTTTGCCACTCACAAAACACTCAAATTATAAAGCTAACTAAGAGGCAAATGTGTTGGCTCAAACCTATGAACCTAGTACTCAGACTGAGGCAGAAAATGGAGGACTGAGGGGTGGTGGAGCACACTTTTCATTCCAGCACTCAGAAGGCAGAGGCAGGTCAATCTCTAAATCCAAGATCAGCCTAGTCTAAAAAATGAGTTCCAGGGCTATGTTAAGAAACCCTGCTGGGCAGTGGTGGCGCACGCCTTTAATCCCAGCACTTGGGAGGCAGAGGCAGGTGGATTTCTGAGTTCGAGGCCAGCCTGGTCTACAGAGTGAGTTCCAGGACAGCCAGGGCTACACGGAGAAACCCTGTCTCGAAAAAACAAAACAAAACAAAACAAACAAAAAAAACAAAGACAAAAAAAAGGAAAGAAAAGAATATGGAGGTTAGTGTGGATATAATGAGTCAAAGGCCAGTCCGGACTCCAGAGGGAAAT